CCGGAAATTCATTGCACCTGAGGTCGGCGCGGAGGAGCTTTCCTTCATGCGTTGATTGTCCTCTGGATTGTCAGCGCAGACCCAAAATTTGACAGGCCTTCGCTCAATTCTTGATTTCTTGAAGTCTATTGCTGCTTCAATCTCAATGTCTCGCGTGATGGTTAAACCGACTTAGTTTCCTATATTATGTGCACAATGTCGAACATCACGTGTTGCTTGGCGCAGGCGAAGACGGACATCATTGATGCGACTATCAGCATGCATCAGTTTAGATATTCTAGCCATTTGTAGAGGGAGAGAGAGTGAGAGAGATTTTCAATTCAAAAACCTTAGCAGGTTTTGGGGGAGGAATTGATATTTATTTCAATATTATGTATATGGGCTCTCCCTTTGTGTTAGTTGTGTCCAAACCTTTTAATAAGCACCGTTTATGACCATTGCATGTGCTGCCAGTTTGGATATAAAATGTGTCTTTAACATGTTGAAAAATTTCATGAAAAGTCCAATTTTCAGGGAAAAATTTCGGGAAAAGTCCAATTTCGGGAAAAGTTCAATATTATGTATAAGCTCTCTCTTTTTGTTAGTTGACAGGACCCGCCCCGAATTCCTCGGAACTCGAGACGAATGTTGTGGAAATTCCCACATCACACTATGGAAATTGGACTTTTCTCGAAATTTTTCAACTAACACAAAGGGAGAGAGCTTATACATAATATTGAACTTTTCCCGAAATTTTTCAACATGTTAAAGACACATTTTATATCCAAACTGGCAACACACGCAAAGGTCATAAACGGTGCTTATTAAAAGGTTTGGGCACAGCTAACACAAAGTGAGAGCCCCTATACATAATATTGAAATAAACCTCAATTCTTCCCCTAAAACCTACTAAGGTTTTTGAATTGAAAATCTCTCTCTCTCCCTCTATAAATGGCTAGAATCTCTAAACTGATACGTGCTGATAGTCACATCAATGATGTCCGTCTTCGCCTGCGCCAAGCAACACGTGATGTTCGACATTGTGCACATAATATAGGAAACCACGTCGGTTTAACCATCACGCGAGACATTGAGATTGAAGCAGCAATAGACCTCAAGAAATCAAGAATGGAGTGGAGGGCCTGTCAGAGTTTGGGTCTGTGCTGATAATCCGGAGGACAATCGCCGCATGAAGAGAAAGCTCCTTTGCGCCGACCTCAGGTGCAATGAATTTCCGGTGGCCATCCCATTTTTACATCCTATGGCCACCGGAAATTTATTGCACCTGAGGCCGGCACGGAGGAGCTTTCTCTTCATGCGGCGATTGTCTTCCGGATTATCAGTACAGACCCAAACTTTGACAGGCCTCCACTCCATTCTGTGTTGTACCAAATGCTACTGATTCTTCTGATTCTTGTTATTTGTGAATTTAGGGCTGCTACTGATTCTTGTTATTTGTGAATTTAGGGCTATGTGTGAATTTGTTCAAATTCTGTGTTGTATGGCTAATTTGAATCCAAATGCTACTGATTCTTCTGATTATTGTTATTTGTGATTCTTCTGATTCTTGTTATTTGTGAATTTAGGGCTATGTGTGAATTTGTTCAAATTCTATGTTGTACCAAATGCTACTGATTCTTCTGATTAGTGAATTTAGGGCTATGTGTGAATTTGTTCTAATGGCTAATTTGATTTTGTGCAGTGGTGGCAAAAACAAAGGAAAGAAAAGAAAAAGGTTCTGTGATGTCTCTTCTGGCCTTTTTCTTTCGCCTTCCTAAACCCTAAGAATTGTTACATATGGATGAATTGTTACATCGACTATTGTTACATTGTTACATAAGAATTGTTACCTATGGATGAATTGTTACATTTGGTCAATTTTAGTTGCTTTACCAAAATTTCGTTCTCTATAATTTTAGTTCTTCACAGTGATACATATTAGAAGTAGAAATAAAAAAATAGCCCTTTTAAAAATATTTTTTTATAAAAAAAAATAGTATTGGCTGCAACAGTCATATAAGTGCAACCAAACCCAAGGTGATAACATGTAGTGGGACCCAATACCGGCCCAATATGATTTAACCAGATCATTAAACGAGAATTTGGTCTCAACTCAAATGAACCAGCTCAGCCCAATATGATTTAGGCACTTGTTAAATTTAGATTTAACCAGATCCTGTAAAGCTAAATGAGTCTTAACGTGTAAGGAGTCGAGTGTTTTCATTTGATAATGGCTGTGAAATCACTCTCGAATCATTTTTCTAAGGTGAAAATTTAAATTATTATAATTTTCTAGGAGAGAGAACTCAAGTGCAAGGAGGCGGACATAGGGGTGGGCACGGTACGGTATGGTACGGTATTGAGCCCGTACCGCTACCGATACCGGAAATTTAAATCGGTATGGTACGGTATGGGATTATCATTTGTCAAAATTGGTATCGTACCGTACCGTGCCAAATCGGTATCGGTACCATTTCGGTACCAAAATGACACAACTAAAAATGAACCAATTCAATATTCAACATATTCATTCACCAAAATAAGTGATGCCTAAATTACAAATTCAAATATTCAACATATTCAATATCCATCAACATATTAAATATCCAAATCAACCAAATCAATATTTATCCATCAACAGATTCATCAAATCCAAATGGTTAAAACTCATGCCTTATGGCTTACAAACCAAAATAGTTAAAATTATGGAGGAGAGTGAGGGTTTGGCTTTGGCGTTTGAGAGGCAAGTGAGAGACAGCGAGAGAATGAAAATAAATAAATTATATTTCAATACTATTCGGTACGGTACGGTATTGACCAGTACCAAATACTTGATACCGCTACCATACCATACTCTATTGGTACGGTACGGTACGGTACCAAATATCTCCCTATCCCAAATGAAACGGTATGAAATCCGTATGGTACGGTTTGGTTAGGGTACGGTTTCGGTATTTCGGTTTTAGATGCCCACCCCTAGGCGGACATATGTAGAACTAGCCTAACTCATATGTACAACCGTTTGAATTGTTTAAACATGCAAAAGAAACCAATCCAGCCCACATTTTAGTTTTAACATTAAAATGTGTAACTTGTATATCCAATTTGAACCAAATCGCAATTAGTTTTGATAGATTTGGTTTAATTTGACATATTTAAAACACCGTCTAACTTGTACGAAACCGCATATTTTACTTTTCTTCAACACTTGACATTTTCTTATTAGTTATCACCGTTTACTATCATATTTTATATTACACATTGATATAAACCATTTAATACTAAAACCTGAAATCCCTAACTCATTCGAATTTGACCTCTCTCTCAAAATTTCTCCATCTTCAATAGTGAGAAGTTTCCTTTTGATATATAAGAATGATTTTCGATTAGTTCAGTTGTGTTACTAGTTTGAGGTCTAAACATTAGTTCCATGTGTAATTTGAGACCTAAACCAAATCCTATTGCCTCGACTCACGTGATCATTGAAATACATACAACACATCACGAGTGCACATAGTATTTTTAAATTCTCATGCTGGGCCATGATTTCTTCCACTTTTTGGGTGTGTCAACATCTCTCTTTTAATGTGAATTTTTATTTACTTTTACTATCTATAATTGCTTTCACATGTTGGCATATTTGGAAATTGCGTTGTAAGATGGCCTTTGAGCAAAGCAGACCCTCTCTAGATATAGCTATAAGAGAGTCTCAAACAGCCTATGCAGAGTTCAATAGTGCACAGATCCACAAGAATGTCATCCATAGGCTGCCTCCTCAAAATATATCCCCAACTCAGCGGTGGATGCCTCGTTGTAATGATTTTGTAAAAGTTAATGTAGACGCCTTTTGGAAGCAAGGTATGGATGTGGCCAGAGTGGGGATCATAATTAGAAGAGCCGATGGGTCTTTCCTGGTAGGTTTCTCAGGCCAAACCAATGTGTCCTCCTCAATTGAGGCTGAGACTTCGGCAATAATGGAAAGCTGCAAGTTTGCTCTTCATGAGGGTTTGAATAATGTGATAATTGAATCCAACTCACGCGAGGAGATTTCTAGTGTTCATGGAAGCATTGCGAGAGGGAGGTGGCAATTCTACCCTCTTCTCAAAACCATTCGACTATTCTTTAGTAATTTTCATCAATGTGGTCCTGGATTCCTAGAACTGCCAACTTGGCAGCTGATCATTTGGCCAAGCTATCTTCCTCGAGGATGTGCTCTTTTGTCCGGGTTGACCGACCTCCATCCTCTCTGATAGGCATTCTAAACAAGGATGGCCTACCATGCCCACCGCCACAAAATGGTTAGGCTAAGGCTTTTTGAAGCAGTGTCTCTTTCTTTCCAATATGTATCCACAAGCTATGTCCACTTTTGATGTTTTATTTGCCTGTAGTCCCCTGTCATTGGACTCCTGCCTGTTTGTATTTGGTGCTTTGTTTGCGCCCTTGTTTTATTCAAGTACTAGTTTGTCCAAAAACAAAAAACAAACAACAGCTTGCATTTCATTTTTCCATTGAAGGATATCAACTCTACCCAAGCATCTTAATTGTGGTAGCAATTACAAATTAAACTCTACCTCCAATGTGATTGTGGAAGTTGAGAAGTCGAATTCATGTATCCATATGAAACGTTGTAATGAAGAAGATGAACCAGTTAGTTACTTCGGTATTAGGTTATTGCTTTCTAATTTCTTGGTGACTGCTTCTGTATGTGTTGTACTGGATAAAATACCAATATGTTAATCCGTACCTGCCATTTCATATCGTAGGTGCTAATTTTGGTTGTCAGCTCCCAGTTAGAAATTCCAGTTGTCATTCATGACTACTTATACATTCACGAAATTCCCCTAATTAAGGTAGAATTTGTGTGTCAAGTACTTGAAAGTGTTTGCCAGAATCCAACACAAACATTATGTTGTCCGAAAACTCTTGTTATTTCCCAACCATAACCAAAAAAGAATTTGCACTGGAAAAAATAAGCAAATAAAAAAAGCATAATCATTACAAATCAATTAATCAAAACACGGTACTTAATAAATAAGTGCAAGATCTCGGGATCATTTAAACCTTGTATCGCACTTATTACATGCATACACACAATTACTTTTTAAGTATTGTACGTACTCACTACAGGCATACAAATTCAACATTTGAAGGCAATTTTAATTTAACGAGTTGCATGGCATGCTCTCTTGCCTTCGCTTCCTCAACGACTTCTTTACTTCCCCTATCCATTTCACTAGGATACGTTTCACTAGGATACATCCAACGCCGGACAGGATCAATAACAATTTTCTCTAACGCAGTAGCACTCTTTATTAAGAACTTTATATGTTCAACAGCAGAAGCACGGGCACGATACCCTACTATTTCTACTAGCTTGAGGTAATGATGGGGGCATTTAGCAGCTTTCTTTATTTTTCTACCGTTTATGGGTAGAGAGAAATCCAACTGCACCAAGAAAACAATTTAGTGTACAGCACAAGAAGAAACATAAGGATAATTTCTATTAGCAAGTTGCATCACACAACTAAATTTTCCTTTTTTTGTTGTACTTTTCATTCTTCAAAATTGTTAATGGAACAAAAAGAACATGAACGAAATCACCAAAAGTGCACATACAAAGACCTACATGTAGTTTTACTCTGTAATCTACGAGTACAAACATACATACCTTCAACGCGAGTCTTTGCAAGAAAGGAGATGCTTTCAGAAAAGAAGTTAAATGATGAAGAGCCAGACGGTACTCCGCAAAAAGTATTAATTCCAAATGCTTGAGATTTGCTAGTGTAGGAAACACATGTTCCCGATTGTAAACCTGAAAACCAAACAAGGAGCAATAATGAGCTACATATCCATGAAAGAAGAAAAGAAAACCAACACAATAGTAATTACATATACTAACCGATCCAGTGATATCCAGCATGAGACTCTCCAACTGAGAAAGATAACATGAAAGTTGGCTAGAGTAAAGCTTTATGGATGCAGGGTGCAGGGAAATATGGGAAATGGACACCTCCACAAGCAATGGTACATTACTGAGAAGTAGGTTCATCGCAACACCCCGATACATAAATGAAACAATGTTTGCCCCTGAAATCTCAATGCTTTTAAGGGCACAACAATATTTTATCACTAAATGCTTCAATGTAACCGCTGGATGAACAACTCTTATATTAACCAAACTTTTCGTTTCGGACACGGTTAATTGTTCAAGAACTGGACAGTTGGACAATAAGTATTCAAGAACTCCATCAGTCACATCAACACATTTGAAAAGAAGAACTTTAAGGTCGTGAAATCTAATTTTGTATCCACAAGGGCGTAGACTTGGAAGGTAAGAATGCAAGTTCCTCTTTTCGAGACCTAACAGTTTGTTGGGAAACGCATACATCTTTTTTGAACCAACGCTATTTTGTAAAGAAAACTTCAACACGAGTGTTTCAACTCCCTTTTCCATTGCAAACTGAATCCATTTGTCAATGGAACTTCTAAACCGACTATTTAGTTGGAAGCAAACCCTGAATTCTTTGATTTTTGGGCCTTTATGTTGTTCCACCACACGATTCACCCAATTGACATACATACCGCTTTCTAGGTATCTTTTTTTTTTTTTGAGGAGGACGAAGCGGTAGATATTTTTACCAGTATCATAGTTTTTAGCATCAAAGTTGAGAAACATAGTGGACATCCACACATACTGCCAACGTCTAGAAAGGATACTAGTAGCGGTTGCCTCCTTTAGCGACAAAAGAGACAATATACTGACAAGAATTTCATCTGGCATCTCACTAATTTTGTCAACCAAGTTGTACACACCTTTTTCTCCCTCATTCTTTCCCGAGTTCTTTTCTTCACAACATCTACGTCCCTGAGTTCTTTCCTTCACAACATCTGTGTAGCTTTCTTGAGTTATCTGCTTCACAATGTCTGTGTCGCTTTCCTGAGTTATTTCCTTCACAACGTCTTAGTCGCTTTCCCAAGTTGCACTCATACTTCTAATAGAAGAATCAGCCCGAATAAAATAAAAATGAAAAGAGTAAAGAGGGGGGAATTTTACTGGGTAATTATCTCTCTTTAATGTCATGATTCCATCACATTGTTATATTTAATTCACATGAAGAAATAATAAATAAAACAATGACAACCACAATAAAACCAACCATAATGCACCTACATATAAGAGAAAGAACAACGGAAGAATTTTTTTTTCTACAAAGTTAGATATGGATAAATAAAAAAAGGATGCAACTTTTAAACTGTTTATATATCTGGGTAACTGAAAAAAAGGGTTCCAATTATATACCAGTGTAATATCTGGGAAACGAAAAGGATCCAACTTTCAAACCAATTAGATATTCCTGATATAGAGAATGTGCAAGGATCGGATTAGTTTGGTTTTGCGCCTAAACCACAGCTCAACTGATTACATTACAACGGATTGGCTTGGTTTGGTTTTGACTAAAACCACAAGGGAAACCAAACCAAACAAAACCATTGTTGGTTGGTTTGATTTGGCAGGTTTGAGCCTTAACCAAATTTTTTTTTTCCCCACCTCCTGCCACATTTACAGATCCGCTACTGACTTTCAAAACATAAAAAATCCAATCAAACCCAACCTGCTTACAAGTGCTAAGCATTCTATCAACTTAAAACTTTCAAAACATCAATATTTCATCAAAAATTCCTAATTTCCAGCACATCAAACCTACAATAGATCATCTAAGTTCACTAATTTCCAACACATTAAACATTCAGCAAGCATATCTAGCATATTCACAATTCACAATTCAGCAAACATGAAACAGAAAATTAATTATAGTGTGAGAGAGTATTAAAGCATGAAACAGCAGAAATAAAGACTCAATGCCAATGGGTTCCCACCACAGTGTTGGTGGCTTCCCCTTCCCCCACGGCACCCCAGTTCGAACCCCAGGGTCGAACTCCAATGTAACAACAAATAAAGACTTAATCTATAAGAGAGATCATGAAACAACAGAAAAAAAAAAAATCTTCAACAACAAAGATCACCAATTTTTATAAGGCTAAATGTTAATTAACAGAAACCCAAGATATCAGAACTCACCACCACTGGCATCGAGTCAGATTGATCCATAATCACCAAAAAGCAGCAAGCAGATCAGTTAACAATCCGGGTCCTGTACCAGTTAAATCCACATATAAAGTTTAAAACGAATATGAGAAGAAAAATTAAAAATTAACTCCAGGTTTAAAAGATTGTTGAACATGCTTACCAAATCTCTGAGAGGAAATAGACTACGGCTTGGCTAGGGTTTTCTCTTGGCTCGAAAGGGTTAGGCGAGGGACTAAGAGTCAGGTGTCGCGGAAGGAAGGGAGAGCCTGAGATGCTCGACTGAGGAGGACGATTCCAATGAGTTGATCGAAAAAATAGACAGAGCCCACCCTCCCCACAGCACTCTTCGCGCTGGAATTTTACACGATTTGCCGTGGTGAACAAGGCACCAGGGTAGATAGAAGAGAGAGTCGAATCTATTACTGCTTTAATTAGGAGACTAGCCCTCACGCATGTGCCAATTGGTTTTCTTTTTTATTTTTTATTTTATTTTTAGAATTAAGAAAAGATAACATGGGTAGTCATATTTAAAAAAATTAAAATTAAAAACAAAATCATATAATAGGTCCTACTTTATGTTTGAATTAACCAAGGGCATTTTATGGTATTTTGAATGTTTCACCATTCTTTGCCTTTTGCTTTATATATATACTAGCCTCTCTGCACGCGCTTCCGCACCTGCAAGAGGCTTTTTTAAAAAAAATGTAAATTTATTTTAGAATTAAAAAAGATAATGGGTAGTTGTGTTCCATAAAAATAGGATCAATTATCTTATTTTTCTTTTAATTTAATTTTTTTTAATTATGAAAAAATGTGAATTTACCATATTATCCTCATTTAATTAATAATTTCAATTCTTAATGTTTGCATTAAGCAAGGGCATTTTCTGATATTTTGAATGTTTCACCATTCTCTGCCTTTTGCTTTATATATATAGATATATAAAAAGAGTTAAAATACAATTCTCAAAAAAAAAAAATTAAAGAGTTAAAATACACTTTGCATGAGTTGGCATGCCACGTCACTTACTTGGATGTTGGCGGTTGAAACATGAAAAGGCCATTTAAAATTGCACCACATGGTATGTATAGTGTGCATCACATAGAGAGGATCAAAAAAAATTTCTTGACCTACTTGTAAACTGTGGCTCAATCAGAAATTGTTCTTCTAAGGAATCTTCTAAGACTTGTGCACAGTCTGAATGATGCCCCCGCCCTTAGCAAATACCTCGAAACCTATGCCTATCTAGCTAATGTTTCAATGCAGATCGATACAAGCCATGTTTTTGCAGTGACTGGAAAATGGCTTCCACTGCATTTAGAATTTTATTTTATTTTTCAGCATTTCATTTGGCTTCCACTGCATTTAGAAATCTCTAAAAAATTTGTATATAAAAAATTTTCTGACGAATATCATTCATTTTTTTATAGAGATATTTAGTCCCATTATTAGCACTAATTATATAAATAAACCCTACATCATTTAATTTCTATAAAAAAAAAAACCCAAAAAATGACAGCTAGCCGTATTAAATTTAATTTTGATTATTAAATTACTTTGATACCCTATTGAGTGTTTTGAGTTTTTTTAATGAGGTTTTGGGGTTGACCTTGTTTTAAGAAATCAATGGCAGTTTTGTAATTTATAAGAAGTTAAAAGCCTCTTTGTTATGTTGTAAACGGGCTTTGGGTGTTTCTAAAGTCTATTTCATATATGTTTTTTTTTATATTTATAATTTGGGCCTCTATATTGGGCTTTGGGTGTTACTAGCCTCTCTGCACGCGCTTCCGCGCCTGCGAGAGGCTTTTTTAAAAAAAATTTAAAAATATTTTAGAATTAAAAAAGATAATGGGTAGTTGTGTTCCATAAAAAGATGATCCATTATCTGATTTTTCTTTTAATTTTAAATTTTTTTAATATGAAAAAGTGTAAATTTACCATATTATCCTCATTCAATTAATAATTTTAATTCTTAATGTTTGCATTAACTAAGGGCATTTTCTGGTATTTTGAATGTTTCACCATTCTCTGCCTTTTGCTTTATATATACTAGCCTCTCTACACGCGCTTCCGCGCCTGCAAGAGGTTTATATATATATATATATATAAATTTTAAATTTATTTTAGAATTAAAAATGATAATGGATAGTTGTGTTCCATAAAAATAGGATCCATTATTTGATTTTTCTTTTAATTTTAATTTTTTAAATATGAAAAAGTGTGGATTTACCATATTATCCTCATTTAATTAATAATTTCAATTCTTAATATTTGCATTAACTAAGGGCATTTTCTGGTATTTTGAATGTTTCATCATTCTCTGCCTTTTGCTTTATATATATAGATATAGATTTATCATATTGATGATTTATCCAATATGACCTTGGATAATCACGTTTGCTTGCTGGGGTTAATTATCTTGCAATGTTATTAATTATCATTGTTTTAAGTCAAATATTGTATTAATTGAATAGAAGAGGCTAATGGCGCACAAAATATTAAAGTAGCAAATAAGGCTTTTCAAATTGACGCGTAGGTCAATAAACTTCAATTTGAAGGGTTTTATTTGTTACTATTGTTAGAGATGCTCTTAGCCGGAATCCAACACAAACTTTATGTTGTCTGAAAACTCTAATTGTTATTTCCCAACCATAACAAAAAAAGAATTTGCACTGGAAAAACAAAAACCGAAAAAGCATAATCATTACAAATCAATTAATCAAAACATGGTACTTAATAAATAAGTGCACGATCTCGAGATCATATAAACCTTGTGTTGCACTCATTACATGCATACAAACAATTACTTTAAATATAGGAAATGGACACCTCCACAAGCAATGGTACATTACTGAGAAGCAGGTCCATCACAACACCCTGGTACATAAATGAAATAATGTTTGCCCCTGAAATCTCAATGCTTTGAAGGGCACGACAATGTTTTATCACTAAATGCTTAAACGTAACCGATGGATGAACAACTCTTATATTAACCAAACTTTTCATTTCGGACACGGTTAATTGTTCAAGAACTAGACAATTGGACAAGAAGTATTCAAGAACTTCATTAGTCACATCAACACATTGGAAATGAAGAACTTTAAGGTCTTCAAATCCAATTTTGTATCCACAAGAGCGTAGACTTGGAAGGTAAGAATGCAAGTTCCTCTTTTCGAGACCTAATAGTTTGTGGGGAAATGCATACATCTTTTTTGAAACAATGCCATTTCGTAAAAAAAAACTTCAACACGAGTGTTTCAACTCCCTTTTCCATTGCAAACTCAATCTGATGAGCACATAAACTATCACATTTATTATCCCTAAATATATTTGTTAGTAATTGATTTTCTTACAATTTTAGTTAATTAGGTTTGTTTTTCACTTTTGCACTTGCTCACATACCCATTACATAATTGATGATGATTTCATTATTTTATCTTAAGGTTGAAGAATTATCAAATGGTGACTTGGTGGCATTAAACAATTTGTAGTTGGGAATGACCAAATGAATGATGAAGAATTAGTGCCACACCAAGGCATAAAAGAAAGGAAAAGAAGCAATGGATGGAGCAACCAAGAAGAAAAGAATTGAAAAGAATGCATGAAGTGCCACACCCATGCCAAAAGAAGAAACAATGAAGAGATGGGTTACGGTTGTGCATTGAAAGATGAAGAATTTGGAGAATGGAGTCATCAACACTATGGAATAAGTAATGGAAGCAAATTGGCAATTGGCTTGATGGCAAGTGGAATACATATTAAATTCATGAATGGAGGGATTTAATGAATTTAGAATTGCTCCCATTTTCCTATAAATAGGAGGAGCTATGGCATTGTAAAAACACACCAAGCCTCACAACTTGAGCTTTCTCTCCTTCCTCCATATCTTTCTAAGTTTTAATTTCTGTTTTTAGTTTTATTTTATGGGGAACTAACTCCCTAGCTAAGGCTAGGGAGAAAGCTTTTAATATAAGTGTGTAATTTTTATTAGTTTGATCCAAACTTAAGCTTTAATGTGAATTTGTAGTTTCTGTTCAAATGGAATTTGTAGTTTTCTTTTTAATTAATTGATGAATGTTTGATAATCTATTTCATGGGTTCAATCATGTTTTTCCCATTGTGTAGTAAAAACTTTCATGCTTTTAAAAGAGAAGAGAATTACTAAACATTAATAGAATTTTGATGAAGATTATTTTTTTATAGTTTGTTGCCAATGGTACAAGTTATGCTTAGAATACTTCTAAAGGAAATTAAGAAGAGCTTTAATTATTTTGAACAACTACAAAGGAAAATATTTTGTGGATCAAATTATTAAGAGTTGCATGCTTATGTTAAAAGTGGAAACCCAATGCCTTAGTGTTTTAATCAATTAAATTTTCTCTAAATCAAATCTTGCATAAATCAACCTCTCAATCATACTTGTTCTTTTTCATCTCTGTTATTTTCTTTATACTGCTCTCTGCGGATACGACACTCGGACTTCCGAGCTACACTGCTATACGACACCTCCCTTGGGTTTTGCAAAGTGGTGCGAACACAATCCATTTGTCAATGGAGCTTCTAAACCGACTATTTAGTTGGAAGCAAGCCTTGAATTCTTCGATTTTTGGGCCTTTATGTTGTTCCACCACACGATTCACCCAATTGACCTACATGCCGCTTTCCAGGTATCTTAATTTTTTTTTAAGGAGGAAGAAGCGGAGGATATTTTTACTAGTATCATAGTTAGCATCAAAGTTAAGAAACATACTGGACATCCACACAAACTTATTTCCTTGATTAATTAAGGGATTTACTTTCTTATTTTATATAATTGATAAATCTTTGTATAATTAGGAGATACTTTCCTAATTCTTTCCTGTATCTAATTCCTTGTGTAGCACTCTTGTAAACTCTTTATATATACCTCCTTATGGAGAAGAATAAATCATCTGAACATATTGAAAACCCGTATTCATATTTTAGCATGGTATAAGAGCAATCGATCCTAGGTTGTCTCTAAATCCTCGTATCGAATTTCTCGAAACCCGAATCCCTCGTATCGAATTCCTTGAAACACGAACCCGTATCCTCGTATCCTGAATCCCGAAACCCTGAATCCTGAATCCTGAATCCCGAAACCCTGAATCCTGAATCCCAAAACCCTAAACACAACCCCGAAACCCTAAACACAACCCGAAACCCTACACACAACCCCGAAACCCTAAACACAAACCCGAAACCCTAAATATTTTTTCGTATTCTTCAATCATTCCGCTGCAATGGATATCGTCTCTTCCTCTGCAATTGCCACCACTAGTTCCCCGGGTTATGTTTTGCATAGTTCTTCAAAGAAACACACATGGGTCATTGACACCGGAGCCACTGATCACATGACCTTTGATCCGGGACAAATTTACTCTCATACACCGTCTTCTCAATCGGTGGTGTCTAATGCCAATGGTACCCCCTCCCCAGTAATTGGGGAGGGTTCCCTCTCTCTCTCTGACTCCCTCACTTTGGATTCTGTGTTGATTGTTCCATCCTTACATCATAATCTCTTGTCTGTTGCCCAAATTACTACGGCTTTGAATTGTACTGTAACTTTTTGGCCTACTCATTGTGTTTTTCAAGACATTCTCAGCAGCAAGATGATTGGTTGTGGTACTAGGAGGGGCAAACTCTACTATCTGGACTTGGCTTCTGGCAGTGAAGCCAGCCTTAGTCAAGCTTACAAAATTGGGGGTGCGAGTGTTGAGAAGCACACTTCCAAAGTATGGTTATGGTTGATGAGCACATAAACTGCTTCGTTTGGATACTTACAGAAGCTATTTCCTTCCTTATTTTCAAAGTTAGATATTTCCAGTTTTCAGTGTGACATCTGTGAACTGGCCAAGAGCCATCGTGTTCCTTTTCCCTTACGCTTATCTAAAAGTCTAGTTCCTTTTTCTCTTGTTCATTCTGATGTTTGGGGCCCGGCTAGAATTCC